AGCAACATCTGCAGGGCTCTCACACAGTGACACAGAGCTGTGCCCCTGGATGTGTATGTGTGTATGTATACACAAGCTGCATTTGGGGACTGGCTCCTCAGGTGTGCACACATCATGGCTAACTGGGAGAGCCTGTGCTCCTACCTTGGGGTAGTGTGGGCTGCAACCATCAGTGCAAAGGCATTTTGTATGGCTTTAAGACTTTATAAGGAGGGATGTGCACCCATCAGTCTGTCTGGGGCCATCTCCAGCCAGGGTTGGGTGTAGGTCCTGGCCCTGTGGGAATCCAGAGGCATGGAGGGCTGTGCAATGGACTTGCCCTTCTCAACGCAATGCAACAAGGCACTAAGAAAAAAGGAGAGCTGCGGTGGACATACCACTGCTGGCTAAGAATATGTGCTCAGGTATTGGTAAGCATCAAGAATAATCACTCTTAGCAACTCTAGGAAAACCAGACAAAGCCAAGCTTTCTATCAACAGGAGGCCCAAGGCCAAAACAGCCAGAAATCACTTGTGCCAGGGTTCATTTATTTCCCAGCTGTTTTCAAAATTCCTCTGCCTCAGAAGACTGCAGTGGTTTGGATGCTTAATTCTGCCTGAGCAGGTAATGGCATTACCAGTCCTGTCTGTACAATACAATCCTTTCACTTCTAAAAACCCAGCTTTAAACTAACCTACATAGCCAAAGGCACCGAGAAATTCTGGATAGTACACCCACACTCAGTATCACCACACCATCCACATAATCTCCACTAATGTCTGTGCAATTATAAAATAGAGAATAAATATGCTGGCCATGTTAGGAAACGAGCCCCTGAGCGTAGAAGGAACGATGCCTCAAAGCAGAACCACCACTGTCTCCACACCATAAGGACCAACCATTTGCCCTTAAAGCCATTACCTATCTCAAATGGAGTAAAACCAGTAAAGTGGATGTCACATTTATGCAGCTGGAAAATGCAACAGTCCTAGCAACCTGCAGGCTCAAATGGGGATGGTTCATTTGAAAAATCAGGCACTGGTCCCTCAGACAAAAAGCCTTTCTTGGTTTAAACACACAACAAAGCTCAACGCGGCAGTTAAGGTAAGGTACAAACAACAGGTGCAAGTGCTGCCTCCTGCACAGTCGAGTCCTCTCCTCTTTCTCCAGGAACATGCCGGTATTTTGGGGAAGGAGGCCAGGACAACCCTTGCCTTGTGGCAAGAGACATTTGAGCATCAGTATTTTATTGCAAAGACTAATTACATTGCTGTGTACAAGTCACACCAGGCAGTGTGCTCCTTCATTGAAGTGGTACAAAATACATATGGCACAGCCAGTCCCTCAGGTGACGCTGGGCTGCTGGGGGACACCAGGGGGAGGGGAGGGGGACGGTGGGGGCCAGCGTGGCCCCAGGGTGGGCAGGAGCTGGCCAGCACAGAGCAGAAGGAAGACCCTGGGGCACTGGTGCCCAAGGGCAGGGGCTGGGCTGCAGACAGGGTGGGAGGCAGGAGGCTGCCCCTGCGTCAGGGAGCCAGCGGCTCCCATCATGTGCAGTGATGGGCGATGCCACCTGAGGGGACATGGGGCTGGGAGAGCTCAGGGCTGACCACGCTCACACCCATGCAGCCTCTTCCCCACCTAGTGCCTGGGGCCCACAGCCCAGCTCCTGCCACCAGCCCCCCGAGCACAGCTGTGCAGCATTGCTGCATCCCCAGGCACTGCCCAGGCCCCTCTCCTGGAGCCAGGCAAGGTGCCGCACCCGCAAGGCAGCACGGACAGACGGGAAACAGAAAAGATGTGCAGGAAGGAAGCGCTTAAAAAAAAAAAAAAAAAAAAGGGATGGAGCCAGGAGCAAAAAAAGGTCCCCCTTCGGTTAGTGTTTCCTACAGTGATTAAAACAAGCTTTTCTGCCCCTGCTCAAGTGACTAGTGGTACAGAAAAAGGGAGGGGGGAGCAAGCAGCATCTGCACCCCACAAGCACAGCAGAGCAATGCTGCTGCTGCCAGCTTCCCTCCCAGCAGCCTTAAATAACCAGGGTGGGGAGAGGAGAGGGACAGGGCTGCAGGGCAGGGGGAGGCTGGATTAGTAAAATGTACAAGTTCATCTCTTCTATTTACAACCAATAAATATTGCCCCCCCAAATCAGTAAACTTTTTTGTTTTATACAAAAAAAGTCTCATTGCTGCTTCTCCCATGGTCAGTGTTTGGAAAAAGTCTGGTTAAAGCCCAAGGTAAGTGGCACTTTCTGCAGGTCAGGTGGTGGCAGCTAGGGCACCCAGAGCACCCTGAGCTCTCCAGCTCCTCGCCTGTGTGTGCAGACCCAAGGTCTCTATTTACACAAGTTTGAACATAAATTCATTCTCCTCCTCCTCCGCATTAGGCTGGCAGCCCTGGGGGCACGGCCCAAAGCTTCCCCTGCCGGTGGAAGAGACACTGGCGTTTGATCTTTGGTGCAAGTTTAATAGCGGACTGTTGAGTCCAGCTGGAGGATGTGCTGGATCGGGGCGAGAAGCGAGACCACGCAGGCTTCCAGTCGTCAAGAGCACGAGGTGCCCACTCCATCATGGCACGGACACAGCCTTCCTCCACGGAGCTCCGAGCACCGGTGCAGGGCTGCATCCTTTCCAGCTTGCCTCCCAGCCTGGGGTGTCTGCAGCTTCTCTCAAGGGAAGGAGAGGCAGAGATGCCCAGTGGTGGGGATGCCAGTTATTCCAGGAAGGATGTGGAGGTAAAACACCACCAGGAAAGCCGGGAAGGAGAGCACCCCACCATGTGGGAGGCTTTTCAGCCCCAGGGTGATGGCTCATGCTCTGCTCCTTGTGAACAGCCCCTCTGTGAGTCACTGCTCCCCGGCTTGCTTGGACACAAGGCACCTACGGCAGAGGCGGGCTCCAGCTCTGGGCTGGCCGGTGGCTGGACTAGTGTCGCACCGTGGAAGGTTAATAAAAAAGGGAAGGAGAGCACCCCACCATGTGGGAGGCTTTTCAGCCCCAGGGTGATGGCTCATGCTCTGCTCCTTGTGAACAGCCCCTCTGTGAGTCACTGCTCCCCGGCTTGCTTGGACACAAGGCACCTACGGCAGAGGCGGGCTCCAGCTCTGGGCTGGCCGGTGGCTGGACTAGTGTCGCACCGTGGAAGGTTAATAAAAAAAAGAAAAGAAAAGGAGATATCCCGCCCCCTCCCC